CCTGATGATGAACTAAAACCTTGTCGATTACGTTGTACTATTTGCTGTCATTGTTAAACTTATATTAAGTTTTCTTCATTACCCATTTAAGCCGTCTCCAGCCATTATAAATATACCTGATGCCTTTCAGCTACAGTAGTGTAAGACTACAAGTAATTAAAATGTTGTGTTAATTATGGTCTTTACTTTCTTCATTTAATCTGTAAAAAAGAAAAGAAAAAACATTTCAAAGTGACTATTTAAACATTTATGAGAAACATATTACAAATTTGTTTTTCTGAAGATTATTTTTAAAGATACAAATGGCTTGAAATATGTATATTGTTTCTTAAACAGTATGAGTAGTTTATATTTCAGTGGTTTTTTTTTTACTTAATTTAATAGCTCCAATGTACAAAAGTGTGATATATCTATAATGAAAAAGATATACACTTTAATTGGAAATTTAATGGATAAGACATTCACATTGCTAAAAATTATATTTAAAAATTTTTGTTTCATAAATTTATCCAGGAGTACATACATATACATTTATGGAATTTTCTTTAATCTCATTAAATGTGTATTAGGCAAATAAAGTTACTGATAAGTGAAGTTGTTGATATTGCTTCTCCTATTTTCTAAGTAAGTTGAGTATTGGTCAAATCTTTAGAGCCATGGTTTGAAGTACCACAGTGATGCTTAGTATGGTATCTCACCCATGATTTTAATACATTTTTCAGCTTATAGTGTGTAGTACAGTGGATGAACTACATGAACATCTTGATCCAAGTCAACTGACACAAGATCTAGGTGGAACTATTTCCTACAGCCATGATGAGTGGATAGAGCAAAGGATGGTGTGTGGGTGTATTAGTTTTGTTATGTAGCAAATAATTTGTTTTGTATTTAACTAAAGACTAATAATTCTAGGACAATAAATTCATCATTCATTCTACTCTCTTGTGCTTGTACAACCAACTTATAGTTGTCACTCTTATATGTGCAGTACATTAAAGTTTAGAAAATCTAGCAGGTGTGTTAGTTTCTTTTTTTTTTTCATCGAAAAGCTAGTGAAGTGGGAATGATCTGTATAGATAACCTTCAAAAATCATTTAATGTGATCAGGTTCTTTTAGCAAAATTGGAGATATGTTGTATGTGCAGTACATTAAAGTTTAGAAAATCTAGCAGGTGTGTTAGTTTCTTTTTTTTTTTTTCATCGAAAAGCTAGTGAAGTGGGAATGATCTGTATAGATAACCTTCAAAAATCATTTAATGTGATCAGGTTCTTTTAGCAAAATTGCCATACTTAATTTACGGCTTAATTAAAAACAATATCAATTTATTATTGATTATTGTTTATTTATATTTATTGTAAAAACTGTAGACTATTTAGATTCTAGCAAAATTTCATCATGGGATATCAGCATTTAAAAATTTGTTGTTGTTTATGTTTGCAAGTTTATGATTTTAACTTTTTAGTGGAAAATAGATATGCCTTCCCAAAGATTTTCTGACTTTGGATTGCATCATAAATAATTTTGTGATCAATGTGATATTTAAGTACACTGTTATCTGTTGGGTAGTTACAAGCAAGTATCCACAAAACACAGCTTCAAGAAATTATTTGCAGAGTATGTCAAACATGAAGAACAAAGGAAAACAAACAAGTGTACGAATAAACAAAATTTCTATTCATACACACAAATGATGAAAGCTTTTCACCATGCTGGCCAACTTCTATACTTACAATGTATGGCTTCTGCTGGCTGCTGAAATGGAGAGTTTCTCACTTCTAGAACGGATGAAGAGCTAAGGCAAGAAAAAGAGAGTTGTGAAGATATCCCACTTTTATGTCAGACTGAGGGTCTAGTGCAGTATCCCACAATCCTTTATGTTACCTATATCAACAATTACTCCAAATACACTAGTACAAGGGAGAGAGCCTCTTAACTTATACTAACTTGCAAATGTATTTGTGTTATCCCTTAAAATGGGTTTACCCCACTCCATGTAGTAGACACAAACACAGACAGAGTTAGGCTGGTATAAATTTCTTTGGGATACCTGTTACAAGATGTAACTACCTAATCAAGAGAACTTATGTATTTTTGTGACCATGCCTGCATGTAAAATATATGAAAAACCTAGCATATAGCCCGTCAAAAATAATGGGGCAAGTACTACCGTGCACCCCACCCCATAGTATACCATAACCTCACATTTCATATCTAACTGAAATAAATAAATTTTGAGAAATCAAGCTTGACCATCAAAGAGGCAGAAAAGTGCAGTCGAGGCAGTCAAACATTGGTAACTTCCTTTATGAGCCAATCAAAATTAAGATCATTCATGAAATGAATTTGTGGCATATTTATAGAATAATTATTGGTAAAAATCAGTTAAATGAACAACTTTTAATATATAGAAAAGCAAGTGCATTTTGATAACACTATGTTCCAACAATAGCTTTTATGTCATTTTGCTTAGCAACAAAAGTGTATCCTAATATTGTTGTTAGTCTATATACTGAAAGTATAAAATGAAATGTATAAACAACAAAACTTGAAAAATATTTGATTTCTTAATTTAGAGTCTCCATTGATTAAAGAGGTTTGTTTTTTATCAAACTTTAGGTGATATAATAGAAAATAGTTTAATTCAGAAACAATTTAAGCTTAAAATTGAATTGATATTTTTACTTTCATGATAAATTTTATGCACTTGGCTCTAGGCTAGGTAATCCCACATTACGTCTTTACTTTAGGCTTATTATACCAACATTTACTACACTTATAAGGTTTCATGGCACACACCACTCAAGGTGTCCTTGCACTCCCGTTACTAAAATCGTAATGGTCAGACAATTATCAAACTATTCTGTCTGGATAAATACATTTTGACTTTTATGACTCCTATTTTGAGAAATCAAGCATGATGTGACTTTTATATAGGTTAGATATTTGTATATATGAGTGAATTAAGATAAAATCTACACTGGTTATAATAGGGTAAAATATGTTAATACTGCTATCATCACACCAATAAGGGCAAGTGATATTCTGTGTCATTCCAGAATCTAAAGTACTTCTTATTCTTTCATATTGTAGAAAGCATATGTAATAATATATTTGATAACAAAATTAATTTTTTGTGTAGCTGTTTCAACGACAACAACATCTAGAAGCTGTTAACTGTCTAATTACTTTTAGTTAAAATTTTCAAACATAATTTTCAATTCTTTTTTTTTTCTTTTAGAAATTTTAATTTTGTTAATTTGTCAAGATTTTCTGTGGAAGTCAGGAAACTGATATAAATCCAAATATATGTAACCTTTAAAGTTCTTAATGTGGGTATGAACTGTTTTTATGAGTAACATTCCAGCTCTAATGAAATATCCCCCCAGTGGCACAGCAGTATGTCTGCGGACTTAACAACACTAGAATCTGGGTTTTGATACCCATGGTGGGCAGAACACAGATAGCCCATTGTGTAGTTTTGTGCTTAATTCCAAACGAACAAACTAATGACAATATACAGTGTACATGTGTTATTGAGTAATTACAGAGAAGAAATCTTTCTTTTAGGTGGTGGAAAAATTCTCAGCTAACTTGCAAGAAATATCTTTGGCTCTCAGGGGTATGACACAAAAGTTACAAGAAACTGAGCTGCCTAATGATGTTAGTTCAACTTTAAGTTTATTGAAAAACCAAGAAACAGAATATAAGGAACTAAAAGATGAGTTGCGCAGTGCAGCCAGGCATGGAGAAACATTGTTGAATTGTATAAGACGACCATCAAGTGAAACTGCATCTTTAGAAATGTGTCCTGATAAACTTATAAACGTTACAGCAGTAGAAAGGTAAATTTGTTTTTGGCTACTTAAAATCATTTGTGACTTTTCAATATACTTTGTATCTTAGATATTGACATCTGTGGAAAATTAAATACTGTTGTATTTTATCATCATACTTGGTTAAATTTCAGGCATTAATTTTTTTCTTGTTTAATTTATCTGAACCTATACTATTGCTTTTTTTCTAAAACTTGGTTATAGAGTTATAGAAAGATAAGTTTTTCACTTTACTGATTTTGACATAGTTTTGAACCACAAAATCACTTGTAATGCTCCTCTTACTAAGGCTTCAGTATATTTAAAACACTTCAGATGTCAGTCTTTGCATATCCAGTATGTGCTTCCAGCAAAATAGTATATAATAACATTTTGGCTAGAAGTATCATCCATTGTCAGAAAAACTTTTACGTTTTGTAACTACTTTTATCTTCAATATATGTAACTGTTAAACTTTACTAAATTAGCTAGGCAAGATTCAGTTTAGTGATTATTCACAACAAAGAAAGTGCAAATAATTCAGACAGCTGTTTTTGTTTCTGATTTTTTTACTTATATTTTCACAGAGGATTAAGTAACAATTCTTTCTTCATTTTTAAAACCATTGATACAATTACATAACAGTACTGTACATTATAGAAGTATTCTTTGGTGTGCATGGATTTTTTTTAACTTAGAAAAGAAAAAGATATTTAACCATAATAAGTTTTAAATCAATGAATACCTATCACACCATTTTTGTTATACAAGATAAGAAACAAATTTAAAAACTGATAACCTAATAGATATAATCAGCAATACATGTTGTAAACTTTAGTGTTAAAGCACATATAACCACAGTAACAAGGAGTTAAACTTATAATAGAATACAGTTTAGCTATCACACCATTTTTATTATAAAAGATAAGAAACAAACCTAAAAAACCGATAACTTAATGGAAAAAATCAGCAATACATGTTGTAAACATTAATGTTAAAACACATATAACTACAGTAACTACACCATTTTTATTATAAAAGATAAGAAACAAACCTAAAAACCGATAACTTAATGGAAAAAATCAGCAATACATGTTGTAAACATTAATGTTAAAACACATATAACTACAGTAACAAGAAGTTGAATTTATAATACAATATAGTTTAGCTCCAGAAACATAATTGCTGGTCTGGTTAGGCTTTTCATTTTGTACTGTACAAGAGTATATTCTAACACAGTTAACATTGTACAAGAGTATATTATAACACAGTTAACATCCAAATTGTTATTTGATAAGAGTTTAAATGATTAGTGGACAGGTCATTAAGTTGTGTATTTTCACAACTATTGAAGCACAATGTCTTAAGCAAACAAAATTTCTAACATTCAATCTGTGCTTTGCTACTCCCCCCCCCCCCCAATTCGTGTTTTTATTTGAAACTTTTAGAAATTTTTTATTCTTGGATGAGACATTTAAATTCTTTCCAGGCTACTAGTCCAGCTAGATGAAACAGAAAAAGGTTTTGACAATTTTTGGAGTGAACATGAAAATAAATTGAGCCAATTTTTGGAACTTCGGAAGTTTGAACATGAGTTTAAAGAGGTAAAGGTTTATCAGTTATAATCTTAATATAACTCATTGTTAACTTAGTAACTCACAACTGATTTCTCAAGAAAACAAAGAAAACTGTGTAAAAAAAAAAAAGAGTTTTCAAGCTATAATGTTAGTCCTGTAAAGGGCACCCCTATCCATTGTGGTAGTGTCTGAATCAAACCTAAACATAAAGAGCTGAATAAAATATAAAAAATGTTACAACACCTATAATTACAATCTGAATTTTGTTTTAACTTGTGTGAAAAAAATCCAACAATTTTCATCTATACATTTTCCTTAAATAATGCTGGATAACCAGTTTAAAGCTTCTTAATGTCTGATATTTGTTATATCACTATATCTGTATATAGTTAATTTGTTTTAGTATTTCTTTTTAATTTTTTTATTTTTATATTTATCAACTTAATAGCACAATCCTGTCATCAAACAACATACACATCTGTCCAGTGTTGTTGTTTATTTCATGAGCCTGTCTTTAAATTATAATCAAAACCTCACTTGGCATCTTCTTGTGTTAATCTAATGTCTTTATAGTTAAAATCTTATTTGACTTAGTGTACTAGTTTGAATAGAGTAAATTTAAAATCTTATTATATAGGAAATATTGATTTAAAAATTTACAAACTCAAATCTAAAGTACTAAAATCAAACTATACAGTTAAATAAAAATATAATTATATATTTCTTCCTACATATGCTTAAGTCATTTAAGTGTCATGTGCAAATGAAAAGTTACCACTAGGTATGGCTACAGAGGACTGGGACTACAGTCTTACAAAAAATAATTATAGTAAAGTAACTGTGTGCATGGCCTGGTGGTTAGGATGCTTGACTCGCAATATGTAAGTTGTGGATTTCAATCTCTGTTGCTAAACATGCTCATCCTTTCAGCTGTGAGGTCATTATAATGTGTCAGTCAGTCCCACTATTGGTCAGTAAAAGAGTAGCCCAAGAGCTGGCGGTGGGTTGTGTTGACTAGCTGCCTTCCCTCTTGTCTTTCACTACTAAATTAGGGATGGCCTACCTGTAGAGGAGATAGGCACCTCCAGGTAAAAATCTGCCCAGGGATCACTGATGATACATTAGCATCAAAGGTGCCCCTATGGTTGTAAGCAGCCTCAGGACTTAAAAGAATAAAAAGTATGTGCATTTGATTATGAGATTACATAATTACTTGATTACTTTAATTATGAGATTACTTGATTATGAAGAAGCACATAACTCAACTAGTAACACAATGAATTCCTTAATAGAAATTAATTTTACAGAAAGATATAAAACCCTATTACCTGAGCTTTTTGAGAAGGTGAACCTTTCAAAAACGCTCAGGTTACAGGGTTTCATATCTTTGTGTTAAATTGATTTCTTGAACCTAATTGTTTTCCTAACATCGTGTACTCATTTAAAGAAAGTTAAATTAAAATATTTTTACCAAGCATGTAGAAAACTGATGAAAAAATAGATCCCTTGCCATATAATAGGTGCAATACTTTCCTCCCTTTTTTAAGTTATTGTACTTTCTCATTACAAGCTGTCAGAGTGAGTTGCTTTATCCATGCACCCCAAAATCTTTATTCTTAATTGAACTTAAACATTCTTTTTCACGTTACATAATTACGGCTTACATAATTTTAATTGCATTCTCTTTTAATTAATTTTTAATGTTTGTAAAATATAATTTTTAGGGAAGCCTAGAGGAATACAATTAAATGTGTCAACAATTTTATGGAATAAAAATCTTATTAGCATTTGTGTACAAGACTCTTTCTGTTGGATATAGTTAGTAACATTCATTTGTAAAAAAAATGTCTTATTTGTGAACCTAGCTTCAGGCAAATGTCACAACCAATCTTCAAGAATTGGCAAGCTTGCCAGAGTCAGGAGATTCGGTTTCACAGATTGACTTTCTGATTGAACAACTAGAGAAGTTTAGGCTACAGACCAAGGTTAGAGGAGTACACTATTAAATCATTGTAATTAGTATCGCATCACAATATTGCATTTAACAGTTTATAGAATTAAAGAGAAATAATAGTTAGCATTTGACTATGCCAAAAAAAACATCATTTGTTGTTAGTACTAGACAGTTCCTTGTACACCCTGTATCATAGTTGTTGATGCCAAGAACAGTAAAATATGGTATATTCTTTATGTAAACATACCCTCTTAATTTGTAACCCTAAAAAGTATTTGTAATAAAAATAATGAAAACCTTTATAATGTCCTATTTGATTATTTATCATAAAAGAAATTTTAGTTTATATTTGTAATTTTGAGTTTCAAAAAATTTTATATTTCAGGTCCAGTAAGGTATTTCTTATCCTTTAGTTATTTTCATTAAAATGCATTATGCCATTTTAAGTGATTTTTAACTTTTACATTAAATATCTAAAAAACAACTATTACTAGAATTTTAATATTGAAAGAATGATGACAGTACAATTATGCCTTAACCTCAATAATATTAAAGCCAAAGTTTTGTTTATACATATAGACAGATAGATATTTTGTTATTTTCTTTTTTCAAAATATTATATTATAATTTCAGAATGATTTTGACAGAATGAAAGAGATTCAAGAAATGGGTAAGAGCCTAATCATGTCCAAACATTATGCCGTTGACTGTGTATCACCCAAATGTCTGGAACTGGAGCGAATGTTTAGTGACTTCAAACAGAAACTTGATCAAAGATACCAGCTTCTTCACAAACACAGAGATTTGCAAGAACGAATAGAAAAAGTGTGTATCACAAATGTTTTCATTAAATTACAAATCTTTATTGTATATGTAACCACCTTTAAAAAATTCAAAGTTCTTGTTTATTGTTTATGAAATATACATTTTGACAATTGTTTTACAAATGTTTTAAGACTTAGCCTCTTTTTTTGTTAAGGTCAAATGTTAATTAGGATAAAACAATAATTTACATAATGTTGGACAGAAAATATGGAGACACTTGCTAGTTTCAATTGACACCTTTACAGTTTCTTATAAGTGAAGTGCAAGAATATGGAACATGTAAAACATGTAACTTGATTTCCAGCTCCATATATAATAAGAACTAGTCATCTATGTTGTACTTGTGTTTCAGCCATCATATCTTGCAGACAAAATTTTTTTCAATGGAGGTCTGGATGATTTAACAATCAAAATAGTAGCAATTGCTTATACATCAAGAGCGATAATGTCTAAGGTGATGTAAACATGGAATATTATAAATAAAACCTCAAGGGCAGAAAAACTACAGAATACAAGAAAATATATTTTTGAGTGTTGCTAAAAAATGAATTACAATATGAAATGACACAGGGGACAACTATATGATGGTAGAACAACTGCACATGAACAGTTCATTACTCTGAGAAACATACATTTGTACATACAGTGGTGTAAAGACCACATACTGTCGTTTTCAACAAATAACTCAATATGATAATAGTCAAGTGGGGAACATGCATCCATTTCACCCCAAGTGGATATTGAAACAATTAAAAAAAGTACACCTTTGATTGTTTTTTTTAAATAGATGTTATTGGTGGTTCTAATATGGAGCAAACTTTATTCTTGTGGTACAAATTGGTTACAATCAAAGACAGTGTAACAATTAATCAGTACAGAAATATCTGTTGAGACCAAAATTACCCATTGATACAGTACTTTCTATCATAATGTTGATGTTGTCACTTCAGGAAACAATAAACTTGACCATATTGAAACAGCTGTTGAAGACTGTTTATGGAGCATTAAGAATGCTCTATCCATCTCTCATAGCCTAACTAAATTTCGGTTCTTGGTCCTATCAATCCATTATGAGGTACTTTTGAAAATAGTCTTTGGGAAAACTTTCTTATTTACAGTATCCATGAATGAATACTGGAGCTGGGTTTTATTGAGAAATAGGCTAATATTCCTGCTGAAGTATTTCATTATCATACTGTTTCATTACCAAGCCAAACTAGTGCCCATCATAAAGCTCATATTTGTCCATTAATAGAATAACACTTTAGTCTCTCCCCCTCCTTATAGTGCCTATCATTATGCTCATATTTCTCCATTACTAGAATAACACTTCAGTCTGTCCCCCTCCTTACATATTATGCAATTTTGCCTACAGCTTTAAAATTTGTGTATTTTTTATCTAATTTAATAGCTTTACAATGCATAGTTCTTGTTGTTATATTTAAATTTCTTTAAAATCTTGTTCTTCATGACTAGGCCAATAAATGGTGCACTGACGGGGTAGACCTCTTAGCTAATCTTCAGATTGAGAAATGTTCATCTCCTGAGTTTGCTCTGGTAGCTCTTGAAGAATTAGACTTATTTCTGAAAAGATCTCAAGAGCTTCAGTTAAGCAGTCCAAGGGAATTCCACAATATATTTAAGGATATGATTACACCAGAGATTAAATCTTTGGTGCATCAGGTATGAATATTAACATAATTGTAAGATCATGTGATTGTTAATAAAGATATAGTATGAACAATTAACTTTTGGTCATCAATTTGTAAAGTAACTACCACTATTTAAAAAAAATACCTAATGTATGTTGATGTGTTGTTGTTTTTTTCACAACTTCTTAGAGCACAAAATAAATCAAAAATGCTAATGTAATGTTAAGTAATGTTAGCTGTGTGCTTTTAAAACATTAAAACTGGTACTGTTCTTCAGATTTATTATTACTGATAAACATATTTAAATTTAAGTTATCTCATTAAATTATATGGAAATATAAAACACTTCTAAAATAGATAAGTAAAGATATGAAATTACATCATGGTATAACTGTTTTCATTGTTTGATGGAACTCTAAACATTGTTTCTCAATATTTTTTAAGATCTTTAAATAGTTTCATCATCATATAATATAAAAATTTTATAGCCTATGTTAAGTAATAAATCTGTAAACAAGATCATCGTGTAAATCTTTATGCTGCATATCTCTGCTGGTGATGATGTATTTTGCTACCTAATGTGTGTTTTTTGTTTTTTTTCACAACTTCTTAGATTACAAAAAATCAAAAATGCTAAATCTTGTTTGAAAAATGTAAATGCTCATTCATATTTAGATAAAAATTGATATTTAAACAAGAACTACATCAAGGGACACAACTTTTATTAGGTACTTCAGAGAATTGAAGATGTTCAGGTGATGTGTGAAAAGCAGAAGAATAACCTTCAAAAACTTGTTTCCCGTTCTTCCCGCCCAGTCCAGGCTGTAATACCTGAACCAGCAGTGCCTCTTTCCTTGCCCTCCGTTGGTAGTTCTTGTAGTATTTTCCAGCGTGGTAGTAAATCTCCAGACAATGAACTACGTTCTTTCAGAAGAGGAAAGACAGGATCTAAGGTAGCTTGCTTGGTATACCATTGAATTTTATTCCTTTTCATTTATTTTTGTTAAAGTAGTAAATGCATTTTCAATACAAATTAGTGTAATGTCCTATTTTACTAAATAATACATTCATAATGAGCAAATGAAAAATTGACTTTTTTTGTTCCTGTAATTAGAAATTCATTTCATAATTTGAGGAATTATATTTTCAGTGTTATTATAATGATTAAAAAATAATTCTTTAATTTAAGTTTGAGATGATGAATTATTAATAAATATGAATTGTTTTTAAAGTGTTATAGTTGTTGTTATAAATAATTCTGTATTTATACAGTAAAAATAATATAAAAACAAATATATTTTATTCATGTGTACTGCACACACATAAAAATGAGATTTGTATGTTTAATCAAAAACAAAATTTACTGAACTGTACACTTATAATGAAACATGAAAATTAAATAAAATTAATTTATGTTTAAAGTATCAGTAACAACAGAAATCATTATGTGTATATCAGTATACTATTACTAAGTAGTTTTGAGTGAAAATTTTAAAAAGGAGTGTATAATAATATGCCAACCAGACTTTCTTGAATAAAACCTATGATTTGTAATCTGCCTCTAATAAAATATAGTTCTTTGTGGACAACTAGTTATTAAGATACAATCATTTTACGAATGAAATTTTGTTTCTTGTCTTTGTAACTATTCTGTATAATGTTCAAATGTCAGAAAAAATAAACTCATTATGACTAGACCTCATTAACATATTTTTTACATAACCTTGTTAACAGTGCTTCTAACCATGAACGAAACTGTTTTAGTACCAAATTCAGTGTTCCTAAATTATCAAACAATAACATGAGCTGATATTAAGCAAACCTGAGTTTTTTATTTTGTTTGAAAACTAAAAATTAGAGAAGCAATTACTGTATTTTTTCTGTGTAACTTATTGTTTTAATAAATATAGAAATGAATTAGTGCAAACGTTTTAAATAAATAAATGTATATATAGACTTAACATCTTTGTTTTAATAGCTTAAATTCTCTAGCATTGAGTCTATTTGGAATTTAGTCAGTTTTATTGACTAAATTTACTAAAACGAAACTGTTTTAGTACCAAATTCAGTGTTCCTAAATTATCAAACAATAACATGAGCTGATATTAAGCAAACCTGAGTTTTTTATTTTGTTTGAAAACTAAAAATTAGAGAAGCAATTACTGTATTTTTTCTGTGTAACTTATTGTTTTAATAAATATAGAAATGAATTAGTGCAAACGTTTTAAATAAATAAATGTATATATAGACTTAACATCTTTGTTTTAATAGCTTAAATTCTCTAGCATTGAGTCTATTTGGAATTTAGTCAGTTTTATTGATTTCATTTTGTATGTTTGTGTTTGAACAATAATAGTTATTTTTGTTTCAGTTGACACTTTAACCACTTTGTAAATAATCATATTTCATTATTTGTGTGTTTTCTTGTAAAGTACTTGAAAGTGTGCATATTGAGTTTATTATTGTCATGGAAAGTTATTTTTATGCTGTTGTTTCAACATAGTAGAGTAAGATTTAATCTAAATCCTTCGTATGAGTTTCATAAAGTTATATGATTTTAACTTTTTGTGATTTTGTAACTCAAATAGTAAGAAATAATTTGACTCTGTATATTCAGCAAACACATTCCATGTAAAATCTTTTCTGGTTGAAATATACTGAAATACAATTTTTAAATGTTTATATAGAAAAATGCTTAAATTGAAGTGTTAGTTGATGTGACAAGAAGATTTCATATATATTATATAACTATGGTTCTGTGAAAATACATTAAATGCAGCAACATTTGCTTTATCTTTGTTCTTTCATCAGTATGATATTCGTAATATCCCATCCAACCCACTTAAGTATGAGTAAAATGCATATTACTAAAAACATATTTATGTATATTATATATACCATGAACTGCCATTCATATTTAACAATTGCAGATGCTAATTAATTTATCAACCTAGCTAAAAACATGATTTTCTTTGTATTTATTTTCACATTTCTGAATGATAAGAGGATCCCACCCCTTTTCTAGATCTTCTTTAAGTAATATGAAAGCAAAAGGTGAAACTTGAAATATTTCTTTCCATTCCTTTGCATAAATATGTATTCATATTTTGATTTATATTGGAAGGTTTTTATTTTATTGTTATATCTGTAGGACATCAAAAGTTCATAAAAATACAAACAACAAATATCTTGCATAAATTGCTTTCCGACAAGGTACCTTACTTCCACTCACGTAGCTATTTTCCTTCAGTGCTACCCTCTATTTGCAAAATAATATTTTGCATGCCACAAGTCTTTCACTCCCACGCATCCCTCGATTTACATGGCTTAATTGATTTTTGCATACGAATTATCATGCAACAAGCCTTCACCAATAGTAGGTGCCACACACCTACATAACTCGTGCGACTCCCTCTATGCTATTCTATCTAACTATCACTTCTCATTTGGCAGTGCTCATGTTCAGACATTTAGTTTGTGCTCTCTTCAGATGTGTTTTTTTTTGTATCAATGTCTCTCAACAATTCTTTGTTACCACTTTTGAAATACGGTCCACCAACTTTGGAAAGATAAATCATTATATTGTTATGTTTTTTTAATATTTTACTGTTAATATTATTATCTGTAGTTATTTCGGTTCAATAACATAATATGGTCAATACTCATAGCCAAGTTCTGTTTTGAAATTAGAGCTTAGTTGTATCCTTTGTCCTATAACGTTGTTCAATTTCCCTTAGCTTACCATCAGGCAGATTTTCTTCTTGATTCTGTGTACTTAGAATCTTTGTTGCCTGTATGGGGGGTCTCTGTTAACCCTATCCATTTTATCCCCCACCTAGTCTTCCAGCTTTGTCTTACCCTACCAATTCTCCTATAGGAAATGTCTGCCTTACACCTCCTTTCTTAGGCATTCAACCTATATCTAGTTTATTTTTCTTGAGATATCTCTTCCTCCTTTCCTCCATGTTGGAGTGTTTGCCATCTTTGGTTCTTTTCCTTCTCGCATGGTTTCTTTGCTTTTGGGATCTTCTAGGGTGGGATACTGTCTTGTACCATTTTGTAGTTGTTCCAGGCAGATGCAGTAAAATGAAAATATTGGCTACAGAAAACTTGATGGTTGTTTCCTCACTAGTAAAAGGGATTTCTGCTAGTGTGTCCACTTCTCATCCTTAACGGATCCTGCTGATTACTAACCCCTACCTCCTCCTCAAAGGACATTGTGACCACATTGCAGAGTTAATTATCATAGTGAGCTGGTCTTCAAAGTGTTAAACTTTCAGTAAATCGAACCATAACCAGAAGCTATAAAAGATCTAGCTGAAGATTAAAAAATGTGAATTGTATTTTTTGTAAGATGTCTACTTAAACTGTAAAGGATTCATGATGTCGGTATAAAGAGGGAATTAAAAGTAAGGAAACGAAAATTCAGATATTTTATATGAAGTGATTAATGTCATTACTTCATTTTTCAAGGGGGAAGGAGTGTGAAATAGCAAATTCTATGTTTTTATGATTATGATTGTGTTTATCACTCATTTATTATTCCCTTCTATCATTTAGATTATCTATGAATCTTTAGTTGCATTAAAATGCTAACTCACCTTTTACATAATCATGTGTTTTGAGTAAATATTTATATATATGTTTGTATGATTAAACTGACACCAGCTTCCCTAGTGGTGATGTACAGATATTGTTATTGTAGCAGAAAAGTATGTAAATTTATGACCACATGAGGTGTTTATGTGGTCCTGTGACATACTCTGTGAATAAATACCCTGCCATAAGTTTCACTAAGAGAGACAGAGAGTCACTAGATGGTTATTTGAAGTGTATAGTTATTGCGGTTTCTCACTCAGTATTGTTATTGACATTGAAAGGTATTGTTTGAATATTGCATTTGGTGTTTTTTTTTAAATTAGGTTTTTTATTTCTGGTCCTTTTTCTTGATTATGTTATTATTGATATATCAATATTTATGATAATTTTTTTATTAATATTGGTGTGAAGTCCTAGCCAGACATTTGTTTATTAACTGTGTTGAATTTATTTCTAAGTGTTGTTATTGTGAATATATTTTGTTTTTGTTGTTGAACCCTGATTGTAGCAGCGTGTTCATTTTAGACCATTACAGTTTGTTTACCATCCACTTCTCTCCACTGGACCATTTTTGGGGCTACTCCTGTGCATTTAGCATCACATGGGGTATCTGTGATGCTATATTCTATTTTTTTTTTTTTGGTTGCTCTTTTGTTTCATTCAGAGTCAATGCCATCTTTATTCATGTTCCATGTCTGGCACCTTCCTGTCCTTACCTACGGATTTCTCTATTTATCATGTATGCTCAATGCTGATTGGAGCTCTGAATCGATTGGTCCCACCTCAATCACTTCTTGGTTCTTCCCCATTTTAATATGTAGTCTTTGATCCCAATCTACTGGGCAATTTCTGCAGAACTGAGAATGCACATGGTACATTCTTATTTTTCAATTCTTGGGATGCTGTCTCACGTTTTTTTTACCACATGATTCGGTATCAGTTTTGTTCATTGCCCTTTGGACTTGTTTTGGTTCCTTATGTTTTTTGTCAGGTGGTCTACATTTTACCTGACTTCTGCATTTTAGGAGATTTTACTAAAACTACTACTTGGATGGTCTGACTTCTGTTAGCTCCTTCTGCACAGGGGGTGGTCATAACTCTCATCTGCTTCTTACACAAGCAGCTTGGGTGGTTGGATTTTCCAACTACATGAGTTTTTCCTGTTAAATACCTAACAATCTCGGCTATTTGGGGAGTGTCTTTTTAAACATCCAACTCCATCAAGATCATCCATTCTCCTCAATTGCATTCGATGGAGCTTTCTGTTATCCATGCCATTACGGTTCACTGTCTTACTACTAGTGAGGTTCTAACACATTGGGGGGTATGGCTTTTATGGAAGCACTTCCCCTTTGGGTCTGGCACATTTGTGATCTTTTCAGGAGATGCTACATGACCCATGGTCTCTTGCTTGGGTTCCTTTGAATTCTCCTTTTAACTTTCATCCAATTCCTCCCTATCATCCAGATTGTTTCTCTTCCCTGATGCTCATCTCCAAAGTTGAGGGTGTGGGTTGATCAGCAGGAGGTTGCAGGCGAATTGTTTACGGACAGAGGTCTTACCATATTAACACCCTGGCACTTCTGACAGTCCAACGTGCTTTAGTTAAATTTCTTCCTCTTGTCTGGATTTGACTAATCATGTTTCATTCTGACTATTTGATAGTTGTGGCTTATATCACTCACCAAGGGGGCACTCATTCTTCTTCCCTTTGTGATAGACAGTGGATCTCCCTTTTTATACCCAAACGTTTGACATACATCTCCTGGTATGTTATGTACCAGGTGCTTTTATCCTCATTGGAAATCATCTTTCCAGTCCCGACACACTTTCCCCCAAGGAGTGGCTTCTCAATCCTCAAATTTTCGGTGGCTCTGCCTCCTATGGGGTACTCCTCCACAGGAAGCATTTGACTCCTTTCTTGATTCCAAGTTACCTCTTTTGTTTTTTGGTCTCCAGTTCATCATCCACTTGCCCTGGCTGTTGATTCAGATGGGATTAGATCCAGTTTATAACTTTGGTTTTTTCATTCTGTCAGTCTTCTTCGATTTTACTAACCTACACTTTAGGGGGTTCATGTGGAATATTCCTTTATTCTCGGTTGGATCCAGATGACCTTCCCTGTCCTGTACATGTTGTGGGTTACTTTTAAGGCTTCTTTCTGTTTACCCCATTTCCCACAGTTTCATTCCCTTGCACCATTCCTCTGTTTGTGATATTTTTTCTCTTCTTTCCTTACCCCTTCTGTTCGGCTTGTGATTCGATTAGTCTTTTATTCCTTGTTTCCTTCTACCCATAATCAATTGCTGGTGTCTTCACTTCGTTCAGGCATCTTACTTTTACCTGCATCTCAACCCCGTTGTCCGTTGGAGGTATTTTGTCTGTTAAGCACTGGGACTACACCTCATACATTCATATCCTATTATCTGCTTTGGGTAGCTGTTTCTTACTTTTTAGGGTAACATCTTCCATCTATTGCTATTTTTCACTTTTTGGTGACACTGTAACTATGTAAGTTTCCTTTCTTTTGTTATATATATTATTTTTCAGGGGCCTGTCTCATGTTTTGACCAGGATCCTGCTCTGTGACAAGTGGTACCTGTCCAGGTATACTTCAATCAGTTAGAATTGTACTAAAACCCACACTGTAAGGCCATGTTGACTTCACTTTCATAATTTCCATGGCCACAAAATGCACACTGTACATTACAATCACATAAACTAGAGATGGGGTATTCTATAAGATTGTTTGTAGGTTATTCCTCGAGATATCTTTGCTTCATAAATATGCCCATTCCAGACTGTACTAGCCCATGGACTTCATGGGTAAAGCAGAAGGGGATTACTGCTCATTTATGCCATTAATTAGATTGAATAAATCGAGTTTGGTCTGCTTTTCAAAATAGGGTTTCGTGGTCACCCAATGCACTTTCTCCAGTGTGAATGTTCCTCCAGACTATTCACCATATTTTTACCCCCGTTTCTTACAGTAGAGTAAGAGTCATTAACACTTTCTAGTTCCAAGCTACTGGGGTGGTGGACCATGAAGGTATCCTCTGGAATAAGAGATATACAATATAAACAATAAAGACTCCATTCATTTGAGAGTAAGTTGGTGGTGTTTTGCTGGTCCTCCAAATGGAGACCACATTTCTGCATGGGTTTGTCTGAGGGGATGTTGTACTTTGGAGTGTGCCATCATAATGATTGGGATCCTTCATTTTACTCCCGCATGGAAGTTGGTTCCCAGTGGTTGAGTTTTGGATTTAGAGCTGAAGCAGTCAACATACTTTTCACACTCGTGCCGTGCAATTGAGATCTCTCATCCCACCCCCACATGGAAGTTGGTTCCCAGTGGTTGAGTTTTGGATTTAGAGCTGAAGCAGTCAACATACTTTTCACACTCGTGCCGTGCAATTGAGATCTCTCATCCCACCCCCACATGGATGTTGGTTCCTGATGGTTAAGTTTTAGATTTAGAGCTGAACCAATCAACATGATGTACTCAAAAATATAGTGTGGCAGCATAAGTGCAGTTCGCCCCTTCGATTGGGATCCCTCATCTTACCCCTGCATGGATGTTAGTTGCCAGGAGTTGAGTTTTGGATTTAGAGCTGAACCAATCAACATAAGTCCTCACACGTGTTCAGGGTGTCCCTAGTCCCTCACCTAGTTTGCCTAGAGTACACTACCCCAATATTGTGAGTCACGGTGGGTGCACTTTTTGGTTGCTTTGCTTCTTCCTTTTGTGCTACCCCTCTGTCTTTATGCTGAGGATGTTACTACATTTGAAGTGGTTATGGTCTGTTTGATTTGAATGGGATATATATATATATATATATATGTATGTTATTTCACTCTGCTCGCACGTGCCTTGAACTTGAGGTGAAGATGGTATGATCCTTGTCCTACCTCTGCATGGATGTTGGTTCTCAGTTGTTGAGTTTTGGATGCAGTGACCTGCCATGTATGGTCCGTTGCACCCTAGCCACTCTACACCTTGGGCCACATCCCTTATTTTACTGTCATTCTGAATTGTGGAAATTATAATATATTATGTTTAGTATCACTGTTCAACCATTTGGATGTGCTCCTCACAATTTTCTGCCCAGATCTGTTACACCTTTTCCACATCTGGGCAAAGTGGTGTGGTCTCCCATGTATAATCCTCTTACTAGAGGGTCCCCTCATTAGGGTGTCCTTCGAATGCTTTTAAAGGATGCTTCTGCTTTCTCCCTCATACTGGTCCCTCCACTTATTCAATGTGAGATTCTAGCTATATATATGAGCAGAAGTAAGGTACCTTGTTGGAAGTTATAATTTTCCAACACTGAAAATGTATTTCCAACAGGTGCTTACTTCCACTTACAATTCCCACCATTCCTCCCCACTGTCAACTGGTGCTTACATTTCTGCCTAAACCTGAAGTTATAGTTAGGTAGAATAGCTTAGAGGGAGTCACATGAGTCATGTAGTGTGGGGCACTAATATTGGTGGTGGTTTGTCGCATGAATTAGTTAAACCATGTGAGTCGAGGGGTGTGTTAGAATGAAAGGCTTTTAGCATGCGCAATTTTTCTTTTTTTTAAATAGAGGGCATCACTGAACAGGAATAGCTATGTATGTGAGTGGAAGTAAGTATGTAATACATTTTCAGTGTAGGAAAATTATAACTGGTTATTTTACCTGGTGATATAGTTACCTTTTGACATTTTATGGATGACTTATCTTTCACATGGGTGAAAGTGTCCTATGAATGATTATTTTAGTTGAAAAAAATTGTTTGCCAGGGGTTTGGTTCTGTCTAGGCCCCCAAAAAGCTCTGATTCATTGTGGACAACTTTCATAATGAAATTTTAACTTTACTTTTTAGAAAGAATAAACAATTCAGAAAACATGTGCAACCTGTCATGTTACCAGATGGACTAACCTGATAATAAATCACAGAAGGCTAGTTAAATTTTAATACTCAAACCTTTTACATGTATGTCCAGTTAATTTTTTAAAACCTCAGTTGCGTGTAAAAAACATATCACTGAATTAGCCAGTTATGACTTTCCTTATACGAAAGAAAATGGTCTGAAGTATAGATCAATAAAGATTACAACAGTGTTGGCAGTAAAATGCAAAATGTGTTTAATTTACATTAAATTTAAATCATGCTTTTTAATCATGTCTGGGAAAGGCCATTTTGATAAGTTTCCGTCTACAGAAAGAGAACTTTCACCCATGCATCTATAACTTGTAATTTTAGGTTTCCCTTATGGCAGTAGTAAAGCACTTTGGAGTATTCTCCTTACTGTCAAGAATCCATTTTTTGAGTGTTTATTTTTCTTATTAGTGTTAAAATATATTACTCAAACAGTATTCCAGTACATAATTTAAAATTGCAGGATTCATTCCATATATTGTAAGACAGGTATTTTTTGTAAATTGGTCACTCTTTCCTAACTGTGGTTTGAGAGATGTTTGTACATATGAGTCTTTTTTTTCTTTCTGTTTGTAGACTCTTGTTGGTGATGCTGTATTCAATTGAATAAACTTTTAACATATTTCTTCAGTTTACCTTCTTTAATTAGATTAGTAATAAATTTCAAACAATTTATTATTCAGCATAAATACAGTCTCCTTGTTTTGTGGTATCTACAGTAGGTTTTGTATATATAAACTGTGTACAATCTTCCTCTGGTTAACAGTTTAAAAGTCTTGTGCATCAAAAACAGTATTACATACTTAATTTTTGTTTTACGTATCCTGCCACTAAAAAAATGAATTCTTATTTTTAATATTTGTTTCAAATAGTTATGGAGATTATTTTTCAAAAATTTAAGAACTGAGTTCTTTATCTACTGCCAAATCTCAAAATTAAAAATGTTATTACAACTTCAAACAAGAATAAAAAAAACTACATATAAACAGAAAACTTCCTTTCATAATGGAAATTATGATTTTTATTACTTCAGTTGCTCATCATAATTTCTGTTGTAGTGTTAGTTGTATTTTATTTTTTTGGGTTTAGCCTTTTTTAAATGAATCTTATTAATTGTATTTGATCATTTGGCTTATGTATTTTTATCACATATTCCTGATTATTATCATGTGCTGTGAGTGCTATAAGTTCATGGGATTTAGAATGTTTTACATTTATAGCATAAGTTTCTTCTTAATTTTTCTTTTAGATGCATATTGAGGTACGGCTAGGAGAATTTAGCAGCATTTTACCTTCATTGCAGGAGAACTGTTCACTAGAACCTCATTCTCCCAGTCCATGTAGTCAACAGGACATGAAGAACCACAAAAGAGGGTATTGTTAATCATATGATAGAGAGTTTGGAATGATATGGATTTTTCTGTTTTATTGTAAGGTTATTAGTAAAGATAATTAAGAGAATTAAAGGTACTGGTTATTGTATAATACCTCATAAGCAGAAAAATACTATTAGGCTGTCTGTTTCTCTTCATTTATCAAGTATCAAAAAGAATTACTGTTTAGAAATTGATGAAAATAGAAATAACTTTTGAAGATAATGTTTATAAAGCCTGAAAAAAAATCTGAAAGTAGTATCAGTGTGATTGTTAAATAGCTTTAAAATATTATAAAGGACATTAATAAAGAAATGAAAATAGAGTTTGTAAATTAATTTAAATATATGTTTAGGAGCTTAGTAACTTATGCCAAAAACGGATTTTAAATATTTAGAATATATTTGTATTGTTTAAGAAATGCCATTTACTTGTTTATATATGTATTTCAGTCATGTCATGACAGAATTGATTGAAACAGAAAAAACTTACGTCTCAGAACTCAGCAGTATAATTCAGGTGTGTGTGTGTTTTAACATTATAAAATCTTTTGTAATTTATAGTTAATGTTTCAGAAATTATAGGTGTAGAGAGAAATGTAACTTTGTAAGTTTGTATAACAGTGTTTTTGAAAGTATCTGTTTAATATATATAAATTAACAGTGGAATTTAAATGCTAAATATTCGAATGCCATAGAATATACTGAAGAGGGAGGATGTTGAAAAGTTAAGCTCATAGATTTCTGAAAGTTATTTAATATTATTATTATAATTTGTAGTAATTTGGGTTAAATTACACAATAATAACTAGATATAATAAGATTGGTAAATAAAAGTAAGACGGTCAAAGTTTTAAGTTAGAGTTTAGGGGTGTAAATTATTATTACAACATTTTAACTTAAAACTGGCTTAGTACATTTAACTTTAGGCTTAGGTATATTTATATTCACTGGTAAATTGTAAAACAGGATAAATACATTGTTTTATTACATATATACAATCTAAAAATTAGCTTATTGTCTCTTGGTGTTCTAGAATTAACGTGTTTATTTGAACTTAGATTCAGTAGTTTAAATTCAGCTTATAGATATAGGTAGGTTATAATATAAATCAGGCTAAAGTAAATATGTTTTATTATTAATGTTACGTATTTTGTTCCAGTAAATTATTAAGTTCTATATAATTAAAGATAAAACTTTATTACTTTAGTGTGAAGACAAAGTAGTGATAAAAAATTATATAATTAGTCCTTAAACGTTAGGCTTAACATTAACAGTGTTAACAATAGGCTACTGGCATTTGGTATTGAGTATTTATTTTCAAGCTAAAACAGTACAAGTATAAATACAATGGTTAAGACTAATGTAGGAGATAAGCATTCACAGTTTGTTAGGTGTAATGGATGCATTGAGTGGGTTTTATTTCGAAACTCAGGACTGGAATATACTTTTAAGGAAGCTAGTAATGAAGATATAGAGTTTTTAGGTTGGAGGAGAAGTTAGAGGCAATCATGATTAAAGTAGATGCAATAGATAAAGAGAAGTGTGGATTGTGTGAAATGGCAGCAGGGTTTCAGGAGGAGCTTAAGCTTTTACATGCAAGGGATACATCATCTAACATTGACTTTCAGGAAGTTAGAAATAGTACTGTTAGGGCTAAAAGAAGTGAATTTAGTTATAATGAGCCTATTCTGTTGAGTAACAAATTTCAGCCCTTGGCTTCTGCAAATGAGGAACTATTGGAAGGAAGGAAAACAAAAGGGTCATAGAAGGATGTGGATAATAAGGAGGTTATAGTTGTAGGTGATTCCTTGATAAGATATATGGGGTAAATAGGGAGAAAAGAATCAGATTATGCTACCCAGTGGCACAGGTGGAGGACATAACTGACACAGCAAGAGATATAATAAAGGGAGCTAGCAGAAATGCAATTTTTGTAGTGCATGTAGAGGCTAATGATGGTGGGAAAGGTAGGTCAGAGGAGCTAATAAATTACAAAGGGTTGATAAAGGCATTTAAAGAAAATGGTCGTAACTTAATTTTGTCAGGGATACTGCCCAGAATTAACTGTGGGAATGAAGTTATAAGTTGGTCACTAGGGATAAATCCTAGGCTTAGGTTAGTATATAAGGATGAGCAGATTGGCTGGTTGAACTTGAGGGATCAGTTCAGTGGAAGAAGGGAGCTTTTTTCAATGGATGGCTTACATTAAAATAGAGTAGGGTCAGACTTGTTTGCTAAGGCTATTAACTCAGCTATAAGGGAAGTTTCAAACTAAGACTAGGCAGTGGTGAGGGCCAGGAAAAACTGAATGCAAAAATAATAAGAGGCAGAGAAAGATTTAGCATAGGTAAAGAGTATAGAAGTTGTTATAAGGATAGGCTTAATTGTTACTATTGTAATGCTAGAAGTATAAGAAATAAAATAGGTGACTTTATAGTACTGGTAGGAATGGAGGATTTTGATATAATGGGAATAACTGAAACATGGATGATTTTGTTGACAGAATTTTTTTTCTAAAACAAGGTTACAGGCTAGTTAATAGGGATAGAGTATTAAGGAGGGAGGGAGGAGTGGCTTTATATGTAAAATGTGAGTTAAATTCTGTTGAAGTTGAAGATATCAAACAGCAAAGAGATTGAATTCATTTGGGTTTCTATTAGAGGATATAAAGAGAAAAGGCTTTTAGTGTGAATTTGTTACAGACTGCCAAATGATACTGATGAAATTAGTGAAACTTTACAATGAGATTAAGACTTCAGCTGTTAATGAAGTCATAATTATGAATGATGTTAATTTCAGGCATATAGATTTGGAAATTCTAGAATAAAACCATGAGGGAAAAAGGTTTTTGGAAACTGTTAAGGATGGCTTTCTTCACCAGTTAGTCAAGGAACCAACTGGAAACAATGCTATTTTAGACTTATTGTTAACTTCAAATGCAGAAATGATTGAAAGGGTAGAAATTGGGGAACATCTGGGTGCAAGTGATCATTGCTCTATTAGGTTCAATGTTTTGCTGCATATGGAGATAAGGAATAATGATATTTTGGTTACAAATTTCAAAAAACAAATTTTGAAGGGATGTGACGAGAATTATCTGTTGTGAATTGGGCAGCTGAGTTATTTGGCAACACTGATCAAATGTGGAAAATTTTTAAAGATAAATTTTTAAATATTCAAGGTAAACGTATTCCTTATAGAAAGAAATGGGTAGCTATAAGTGAAAAAACCAGGTTGGCTCACAAAGAGTTTAAGAAATAAAGTTAAAGAAAAGCATCATAAATTTAAGAAATTTAAATTGACTGGTATGACAGGAGATTTAGAAGATTATAGAAGATCAGGAAAGTTGGTGAAACAAGAAATTAGGACATTAGAAAGGATGTATGAGAAAAGGTTGGCTGAAAATGTAAAAATTAACAGTAAGGATTTCTTTAAATACATTAAGGGTAAATAAAATGTTAGGATGGGGATAGGACCCTTGAGGGATGATAAAGGAAGGCTTGTATCTGATGATTATGAGATGGCTGGGTTATCAAATTTTCTTAATGAATATTTAAGCAGTATTCCACATCTTGATCAGTTGATAAATGGAAAGGAGATCAAACAAGATGACTGCATTAATTCTAATCTGATTAAGAAGAAATTGGGAAGTTTAAGAAACGTAAGTCTTCTGAGCCAGGTAATATTTTCTCAAGGATTTAGAAGGAGGTTAAAGATTGGATATGTGAGCCACTTACTACTATTTTTGTCGGTCCTTGAATAGTGGACAGGTACCAGATGATTTGAAGTTAGCTAATGTAACTCCTCTTCTCAAGGGAGGTGATAAAAATTGTCCTAGTAATTATAGACCCATTAATCTTACATCGGTAGTGGGAAAAGCTTATGAAAGTTTGTTAAAAGATGCTTTGCAAAGCCATTTAACAACGTTTAGAATTTTATTGGATAGTCAACATGGTTTCACTAAGGGAAAATCTTGCCTTACAAATCTTTTGACATTCTTTGAAAAGATTACTGCTTATGTAGATGAAGGTAAGCGTGTAGATTTGGTGTATCTGCATTTTCAGAAAGCATCTGACAAGGTGCCACATAAAAGGCTTCTAAAAAATTATCTAAAGATGTGATGGATAAGTTAGAAAATAGGATAGAGAATTGGATATTATTTTGCATGACTGAATATTAATGAGTTTCTACATGTTCTTACCCAGGCCCTGTTTTAACCAATGGCCATTTGCTCATTATACCATCTCTCTTTCAATACCTATTTCCTTCTCCTTCTTGCTTGTGGTTGTCACAGCTATGATCTTTATATATTAGATGCCTCCTGTACTTTGTTTCACAGGTCTTCCTTGATCTTGTTCCGTAACTGCTCATTTCTTCCCAAGACTTGGCTGGCTTGGGAGGGAGATTGTTCTCTCTCTCTAATTTCTCTTTTGTGTCCAACAGTCAGGTGTTACTTGGCATGAATAGCTCCATTTTGTAGTTCCTGCAATTGTTTACTTTTGCCATGGGATCCCTCTTCTTGCAAGGATCTCTTGTCTTTTATGCATACCAGATGAATTCATCAGCTCATCTGGATCATATATTCCTCTCTGGATGGGAATACTTGCAGGCTGTATTATGTCTCATCAGATTCTCTGGCCCCATACTTTTCAAAAACCCTTGGATGAGATTCTACAGGCTTGAATGTAGATTATGCTCAACACCTTCATTTCCCATTACCTCCAACACCATCTGGCTGGTGTTGCCTCACAGGGTATACTTACTACCCTAAATCTGCATCAAGCAATTTCCAATGTCCCCCCAATGTGAATTCCTCCCTCTAGTCTTTGAGTAGAGGATGGAAAAACCCTTACCACTTCCTAGCTCCTAGGGTTGACAACTTGGAGAGTTCCTCACCAGTTGTACAACCCCTCTGGAAAGAGTCTGAGTGGGAAGCACATTACAGTGGTAAGTAGGGCATGGGTGTCCATGTCAGTGTAGTGCAGGTGTCACCCTTTTTAAATAATATGCCAATTTCCAAATGGTTTGGCCAGCCTGATGGACCAAAGTGTTCTTCTGCAACAGGAAGAGGACTTTGTCCCTTTTACTTTATGTATGGTGAGTAAGTGATAAAACAGAGCACATATCAAAATATGGTCTGATAATTACCTTAGCCATGCTACACCTCATATCCAATTGACTTGTGTGTGCAAATACTCAGTTGGTCATGCACTTTTCTACCCATCCCTGCAACATATTGGCTCCTTTGCCATAATCCTTTCATATTTACATCTGGGCAAAGAGTATACCCTGCATGAGGTGGATGTGGTCTCCCATGAGTGTTGCCCCTTCAGTACCTTCTCTGAAAGGATCTCATCTAGGTTTTCACAATTGCACTGGTCCCTCCATCACATCAGTATGGGATTCTAGCTACTCTGTGCAGGGAGGTAAGTGTATTGTTTTGGAAGTTAACGTTTTCCTTACCTGAAAATGCATTTCAGATATATATACTTACCATTCTAAACACCTTCCCACTACTGGTGCACATTATTCTTGCCCTATTTAAGAATGAAGTTAGTTCTGAGTGGAAATGCATATGGGAATCTTCTGCATATGGAGGATGTGTCACCCTCCTATTGGTGGAGGGCTATTATCCCATGATGATAACATCATACATTAGTGCTGCTTATGTTAAAATACGTCTTGGGTGAAAGATACCTCAAGGCAGATGCAAGAGGAATAGCTATTGTGTGCAGAGAGGTATCTATTGAAAATAGATTTTCAGGTAAGAAAAATGTTAACTTAGGCTAACTGGGAAGGTGTTATAACTATTTGCCCCTCAAACTTCATCAACCTCATTCTTCAATGATTCTTTGAAAAACAGTACTTGGCTATTTTGTTTTAATACTGTGCCCATTTAAATATTTTCTTTTGACCTACAGGGATACAAAAAAGAAATGGACAACCCAGCAATGAAAGACTGCATACCAGGATCTCTTCTCGGAAAATCTGATGTACTTTTTGGAAATATGATGGAAATCTACAATTTTCATAACAAGTAGGAACAAATTTTTTAACTGTTTTTTAAATATCTGTATTTAATGTCTACAAGCTGAAATACCTGTCAACTGACAGAGAATGTTTAAACTTAAGTAAAACAATGTAAGCTTAACAGCAATCATATAGTTCGAAGTAGTAACTTGAAAATAAACTTTAGCTCAAAATTTTAAAATTATAACAAAGCTTCTTCATAAACAACATTTGCAGTTTGCTTTCCATCTACCAACAAATAAAGATTTTGAGGTGATCCCACCATTGAACACCCTACATCTCATTGATCATGAGAAAAGCATGGTTGTTTGAGAAACCATCCATCAACTTTCATACTTTTATCTTGAATCCCTTTAGAATATTCACCATTGTCTGAAGCATCAACCTGCCAAGATTGTTTGAGATTGACTCAGTAGGCTGGGAGTAATTAACCAACAGGCTTTACAAAATAGAAATAGGGTTAAGTTCAGTTTTGACCCCCTTAGGACATACTTAATAGTGTTTACATACAAACTTTGGTTGAGATTGGCCCAATAGGCTTGGAGGAGCTAGGGTGCAAACAAATACACATTTCATCTTTATATATATATATAGATTAGATGAATATTTTATATTAACAACTATTATAATAATTATCTTGTTGTTAACCAAATTACTCCTTTTGTAATTTGAAAGTACGTATTCAAAGGGGAGATTTTAATGATTTTGTTTATTTTATGGTTTATAAATTATAAGAATCTATATAAAATCAATGTAAATAAAAAGTGATGTACATGACCAATATTAGCAAGCAGTTAAATATACATGTACAACAAAATTATCAAGGCATTAAGTGTGAAAAACTGTTAGCAAGTTTATAATTTTAAAATTAATATTGTAGAATTTCTCACCAACTGTAAAATAACTACATGTAAAAAATAATATTATAAATTTCTTAAATTTTAACAACTTTAAGAAATTATTGATTTCTAGCATTTGAAATAATGTAGTTCTTATAATACAGAGTTTTGTAAAAAAAAATCCTGTTTTGAAAGATTGCAAAAACAATGGACCATAAATTTTGAATGGTTGATACTATATATATCCTTTTAACCTTTTGAGTACTGGACCAGGAAAATCAGATGGGGGCCTCACAGACTGAGGAAAATTGAAATATTAGTAAAAAATATTAATCATATCAGGTAATAAGAATTGATGTAAAAAAGGATGAAAACCAAAAAAAAACAAACACAAACTAACCTTTCCTGGTGATGTAGAATCATTTGAAGTTGAAGTATGCAGCTTGAGATAAAGGCAAGTGCCCACTTACTGGCTCTATCACACATATTTGCATTTCTCCTCAGCAAAGGATGCTCCAACAAAACCATCATTGCAATTTATAAAATGTACATTAGACTTTTAATAAAATGTGGTAACCTGTAACATGTCAGATAATATAAAAAATTACAAGGGTTACAGAACAGAGCAATTAAAATAGCATGTAGACTCCCAAATTACACACCACTGGAATATCTTCATTCACTAACAAAACTCCCCTCCTTAAAACAATGCTTCATGAAACTAGCTACTTATTATTACAAATGCACCCGAGCTAGAAACAGTCAAACGCAAGAAATTACCCAAATAGCATCAACCCCTTTCCACTTGGAACAAATACACATCCCCTCTCAACTTTATCAACAACAATAACATGCAAGGGTAATACAAATAATGTGTTTACTAACCAGTTATCTTATTTTCAAATTTGGGCACTGGATAGGTAGATTATTTGCAGCCTGTCCAGTGAAAGTGGTTTTTTCTGGGCACTCTGGTTTCCCCCACATCCAAATTTGTTGGCTATTGTATCCTTAGATCCCAGACCCTGAAAAGGACTGCTTCTGGTATGCTTAAATCTGTATATGATAAATCTTAAATCTCAAATTCTAAATCTCAACTATCCCTTACCACTGAGTATATTTCTTATAATCCGAAATCTTTTGCATCTAGAACCTGTAAACTTAATCTTTATTATCCAAGTGTAATGCTAACTGCTATTGCTATCAATTCTTCAAATATCATACAAATTTAAACTCTGTTATGTTTTATTAACCAACTTAATCCAATAGGGCATGCTGGATCTCTCTGCTCTTTTCTCCATAGCTGACAACTTCACTGACATGATTTCAATACCACGTGTTCCACGTACACCAGCCTCGCTAAACTTTGTCACTCCAAGCCACGAGCAAGTCAAGCTTACTTCCTCCTCGCTTTCTTCACTGCTTTCTCCTGATATTTAATTAAATGCTTCTTCATGTATGTCATAAACAACACTAATGCTAGAAAAATATACATTTCATCAATGTACGTCTTTTCACTTTATCCTAGATTCAGAATCATGAGTACAGTAAGTGTAGTATTTGTTTGTTTCACTCACAATGTGGTTCATCAATGTGCTACCAAAGAACAGCTGGAGATACTCGTATTCTCAACTTTCATCAGTAATATCACAGTCCTCTCTTATTTTTAATATTTGAGTTAAGAAAACATGGCACTTTGGGGATTAATTGTCCATCATTTGACCGAACAAAGCATGATGGTGGTGTGGGTCTGTGGGGAGCACCATAGGGGTTGCATAAACAGAAGGTGGAGGGCTGAGGTTGAACAACTTTGCTATCACTCTTGCCACTTGTTGTTGAAAACTGTGTGGGTGTTTCTTCCATATCATATTCAAAATCACTTTATATTTATGATGCTAGTATGTATACATCAGATCAATTGTCACCATCATTGGTGCTCCAAAGAATATTGCTTATCTGCTGGGAAGGTACCCAAGTACATTTGCTTGGGAGCATGAACCTGAGACCCTTCTGCCATCATGGTGGTGTATGGGTAACTGACACGTTGGAATATTTTTCTTGGTGGTAATTACAGTCGCTGGTAGCATATGGCATTTATATATACTTGGATGGCACACTGTCCTATTCATATGTGGGCAGGAGAAGGCATGTTGTACTATTATGGGTAAAGTCGCATTACGCTGGCTATTCTAGTACAGATACAGCACCAAAATGGTTAAAAACTGTATAGATTTAGTGTGTATACTGAACACTATTTTTAGTTCCATTTATACAACATTTCACAAAGATAGTAATATTTGCATTAGTAATTAGAAAATGTCAATTATTTTAGTGCTTCACTTGTAAGTTTTAGGTCACTGTTGTTAATTATAAACCTTTTTATGATGTTCTGACTGTTTCAGTGTATTCTTGATGGACCTTCAGAATTGCAGCAGCACTCCTGAATTGGTTGGTCGTTGTTTTGTTCAGAGGGTTTGTAGTTTATTTGCTTTCAGATATTTTTATAATTGTGAACTTAAAATTTTACCCTAAGGAATCAGTATTTATATTCCTATGCCATAAAAAAAAAGTTTTATTAAGATATAGAGTATTTCTGTTTTAAAGAAAAAGGATGGTGTATGTTTATCATGCTTTGGTGATATCATATTATGAATTTCTGTATATATCAGTCAATAAAAGAACACAAAATGCATCATTTATCAGATTAATTATCTCTCGTACAGACTATAAACAGGACGATTAAAGAAACTGCTACAAAACATTAACCAACTTGTACTCATTATTAGTCATGATGCTAAGGTATTCATTGTTTCTGCATATTTATATTTTTTACAAAATCTTAATTTGGAAATTTTCATTTTTTTAAAGTAATTAATAATTTGTTGTTTTGAAAATTTTGCTTTAAGTAAAAATTTACACATTTTGTTTGCAAATGTTACAAATACCTTCAGAATAGTTTTCTTACAGGTAACTTTTGTGATGTAAATATATTTGTCTTTACAGAGAGACTTTTTACACAAGCTTTACAGTACATACTGCATGAATAAACCCAAATCTGAAGCTTTAAGGAGACAGTGTGGGGATGATAATTTGTTTTTTAAGGTAAGATCAAAAGGTTTGTAAAGAATTTTCCACAGTAAACTTTCAAACTTGAAAGCTCTACTACAGAGCATTGAAATTTAGAAACTCTATTATTTTTAACATAGATTTAAAGTGAAAGTTTTATATTTTTGTAAGTTTTTTTTGGAATTAAAAATAATATTTATTTCTGATAAACCATCTGAGCAGAAGTTCTTACTTTTCTTGCTGGCTGTCAATATGTATCAGCATTTTAAAAAAATTATGGAGATATTGAAAACACGAGATTCATTACAATTACCTATACTAGAAAATCATGCTTTAAACAATCATTACTAATGGTTCAGAAATAATGTATTAACACTATTATATTTTTTTACTTCTGTAGCATCAGATATAATAGTTTGGGCAGTTAAAAAAAAGCTACATGGTGAAAGGTTTTAAAGGGTGCAGGGAGAATTTGATACCATTGTCAGTATTGCAATGCTTTCAACATTACTGGGAAAATATTTGATCTGAATTCTACCATTTATTTTTAAGGGTTCAATGACAATTTGACAGAATAACACAATTCTCAGTATCACAGTGCTTTCAACACAACTTCTGGGGAACATTTGATCTGACTTGTACTGGTGTGTTTTTAAGAAGGTACAGTGAGAATTTGATGGAATAATGAAATTATCAACAACATGATGTTTTCAACATTACTTCTGATCTGACTTCTACCAGCATGTTTTTATAGGTTACAGTACAAATTTGATGGAACAATACAATTGTCAGTATCGCAACTCTTCCAGTAATGCTTCTACAGAAATACTTGATCTGATTTATACCATTGTGCATGTTGTGTTTAGAAACCGTAGTCACTATATAAGAGGAATATGAGCAACCTTATAAGTCGATTCCCTTTTTTTACTATATTAGATTGTAAAGTATTCTGAATATGGTGGTGATAAAGCAGTTTGAATTGTTTTTAAATAAAAATGATTAGAAATTGTGTCACTAAAATTTGTTGGTGAAAAGTTTTATTAATTTCTTTAGAATTTCTTAATGTTGAAACAAGACTTGAACTATTAATGGTGCTTTTAGTTCTTACAGTAATATTGCTTATAAAATATTGATTTAAAAGTAATTTGTTTAAATTTCTAAGTTTTTTCTAGTAAAAAAATCCTATGTTTCTATATTATAGATATTTATAGTTACTTAGATTTTTTAGTTGATTTTTATATCCTATATTTGGCAGGAATGTCAGAAAAAACTGGAACATAAACTCCCCCTGGGGGCATATTTATTAAAACCTGTTCAGAGAATAACTAAATACCAATTACTTATTAAGGTAAGGGGTGTTTTTTGGGTAATTGCAAAGACAGTTATTTTTAATGTAACATATGTTTATATAAATTTAAATTTTTTTTATTTGAGAAGTAAGCTTGTTGTTAGAATAGTTATCAAAACAGTTACATAACAAAATAGAAAAATCCTGTAATCTCTTAGTGAAGTAAAGGATGTTTTATATTATAATTAACAAAGTTGCATACCTAGGTTAGGACCAATTTTTTTATATACTTACAAAAAGGTGGCTTACCACAGTGATAGATTTTTTTATATTTGTGAGACATTTATCAGGCTGAGAAAGTTTTGGTTTAATTGTCATGCTTATGAAGTTAAGAAAAATTTTGTTTAATTATAAAAAACTTCCTTATCAAGTTAAGAGATATTTTCCTTTAATTATGAAAACTTCATTACCAAGTTGAATGAGGTTTCCATTTAATTATAGAAACTTTCTTATCAGACTGAGAAGGGATCTCATTAATTACAAAACTTTAAAGAATTCTCTGAGCATGATAACTAAGATGAAGAATAATTTGCATATTTATAACAACGATTATTTATCAAGTTAATAGAGGTTTTTGATACTGATGTGAAGTACACTATATATTTCTTATCTTAATAGAGAAATGCATATTAAGAATAATTACTCATCATCATATCTTTTACACAGTTATAAATACTTCTCACTTCTGAAGGTATTTCTTATATGCAAGTAAAGATATGCAGTTGTTCTTCAAGGCAGATGTTTTACTATATATAATACATTTGCTTATCAGTGTAATGTAGGTATTTATTTAAGTTTACTAAGTACGCATTATTCATCAGTGTAAGAGTAACCAAAAATAATAGTAATTACCTTAATAGTGATTTCATAAGTTATAACTATACATTTCATTTTCAAAGCATCTGTAAAAGCAGTTTTTTAAAAAGGGAAGGTAATTATTTCATGACCCTTCTTGCACACAGTTATTTCCTTGGTACATTAATTTCTTGGATATTTATTCTCTGTAAGATTTTCTTTTGTAGATTAAAATGAAAAAGTTTAATAGTCAAGTTGTTTGATATAAAACAAATTAAGGAAGTTAATGATTTTAATAATACCATCCTATAAGTTATGGTCAAATATGAATGCTCAGGATGAAGAATAAATAATAATAAGATATTAGCCACTACCAGTGAAACTTTTGTTTCAGTACTACAGCTGATCAAAATTACTGGGTTACAATACACTAAGTGTTAGTCGAAGCACTATTTATGTTCATTGTGTACTGGATTTAATGGCATGTAACAACTAATCTGCAAAGCATGAAATTGGTGTAACTCAGCTAACTCGGTGAGCTTTAGTATTAAGCAAAGGGCTTTAGCAGCAGGAGTTGGGAAATATGAAAATTCATTTCAGGCCAGAAAAGAATGATGTAGTTAAAACTATTTCAGTTTTATTGTGATGTAATCTCATATATCTATCTTGTCAAGGTATTCTAAATCACCAGCTTGAGCATTGCAGTACACACAAAACTTGCTTACCTAAAAATCCAATGACAGTTTTTGTTTAGAGTGTTGATTAAACTTTCATATATCAGATGAATAGGAATAGGTGGCCCAAAATCTGGAATTAAATATTTTTTGGTACTTTCATGTGAGTAAAATATCTTAATGAGGAGCTTGATAATACAGATGCAATACAGAAAGAGAAAACTGGCATATGGATTAACCTATTTTACAACAACTTTAAGCTATTTTCAAAGCATACAAAGTTGTTAGTACTATTATAACATATCAGAAGTCTAAATTATCTGCCCTAATCATTGCTTAAACCTTGGCTTACAGTAGTGTTATGAGGCCAATGCTAACATGGATCAAGTCCCAAGCAGACAACTCTTCATCATGACCATTATATAAGAAACATTACAATGTTAATTAGATACTCTCTAGTCTTGAACTTTTTGTACTGTTGGGTAATATATTAATGTTGTGAATAACACACTTTAAGCTCGTTTCAGATATTGATGTTTCATTTTGATAATATCTGAAATGTATCTCTAAAGAACCTCTTTAGGCAAATTTAAAACAAAAACTACACTGCAATATTAAAGTGTTGCAAAAATCTAGTATAAAATTGCTAAAAGTGTTGTCAGTCAGGACTTGCATAACCAGCTTTGGTAATTTCAAACTATGCTGTTGCATAAGTTGTATACTTTTTCTCAACAATTTGTACATGATGGTAAAGTTATTGGTACTAAATATTTTAGTTGTCTTTTCTTCATATATATATATTTAAGGCTAAAGATGTACTGTTTTATACAGGATTTGCTGAAGTACACCGATGAAAAAGCAGCACAAGAAGAACTCCAAGAAGCTCTTGACACAATGTTAAGTGTCCTCAAGTATGTAAATGATAGTATGCATCAGGTGGCCATTACTGGATTTCATGTAAGTCTGTGTACCAATACTTATAAATTTGTTTAACCCAGTTCCAAGGTTGTCTACCAGTACTTGATAGATTAACAGGATTAACTTCTTCTCTAGTGTCTTGTCTGCATGCAAGTGTTGACAATCATGACTTTCCATTTCTGTCTCTGTCCCTGGTGTCCTTCAACAATTCTTTGTTGTTATTCACAGCTCCTAACCATTTTCTGACTCCATCAAACATCTTTATTCTTTGTCTTCTTTTGCTTTTCTTCTCTTTTCTTCTATCTTACCAGTTGTTACTATGCTCCCATCTTTTCGTTCCTCATCACATGACCTATGAACTCAGCTGTCTGTCTACTAGGAACTGTAAATCTGTCTACCACTCTCTCTAAGTCCGAGTACCAGCATCTGTAACTTTGTCCAATAATATTTGGATGGTTTTGTACTAGTACCTGTAAGTTTGTATAACAGTATTTGTATTTTTGTGTACTAGCATCTAAAACCTTGTCTCCTGGTACTTGTAAGTCTGTCTAACAGTTGTTTTATGTATCTGTACCAGCAGCTGTAAATCTGTTTAATAGTAGCTGTGTTTTTTTTCTATTTCTAAATATAAATTAGTATATGTGTTCATTCATTGGTTTACTTTGTCAGATTTTGTGTATAGGGCTGAATTCTTTACAGTAGATGCCCGTGGCTTGTTGGCAATAAATTTCAACAATAAACAAACAGCACACAGTCTAGTTGTTTTAAAACAATATATTAAAACAAGTCAAACCTACATACAAATGTTCATTACACTTTTGGTTAGCACATTTATATCCAATGTTTTAATCCTTTCCTTTGGGTTTGTGTAATTTGTGGAAATCGAGTTGAAACTTTCACTTGTACAACAATACATATGGTAACACTGAGATTTCTTAACTTATCCTCTCAAAAACTGGTAAGATTTTGTTAAAGTTCATAAATATCTTGTACACAAAGAATGACATTATTATAATTAAATGTTTTTACTAAAGATATGTTATTTATCTGTTGTAGTTACTTACACTCAAACTCTTAACAAATCAAGTGCAAGGTGATTTTCATTTTAAGTATAAAAATATATTTCTTCATCTTATACTTCCATATTTCATTTGCATAATCTATAGAGCCTTCTTAACGAATATCAAAAGTTTTTTAAAGTAAATGTTTATATTTCATTCTTCATTTTCTGTACCATGTCACTAAATCTAGCTATTATCATCAACGTACAATGCAACAAAATAATTAAAATTAGGAAATAGAAAAAAATACACACCTTTTAATTTTTTGTTGAATATCTTTAAAGATTTTCCTTTTGTAAAATTTGTGATTTCAGATCTTTTCGTTTTCACATATAGTTAATGTTTTATTTTCTTTTATTGTCCTTTGCCACATATTATTCATCTCAATAAGTCAATAGTGTCCTTGAGGTATATTACAGTGTCTCTGGGAGACATGCTCAACCCTTCTGCAAAATGTTCGTGCAGCTCGTAATATCATAAGTGTTGAGAACTGACACAAAGTATGATATATATTTATAAAATGTTTAAACCCTTTAATTATGCATTTTAATACATAACTAATACATAGTTAACTAAAATATAATAGTAAGACCTAAATACAATTTAAGCTGTATCTCTAACTATAACATATTTAGGTAAGAAACAACCATAAGTGTTATAGTCAATCAAGCAGCCAACAGTACTACAGTTGGTTATATATACTCCATGACAACTGTATGCTAATTTCAAAATAACTATTGTTAGATTATAGTGTAAAATGAGCTCTTTCTAGTGACTATACACATGTGTATGTAACATTTACATGTTGGCTATAAAGCTCAAACAAAGCTGTTGATGGTGGGCATGGCACCTGTCAGGGGTTGACAAAATTTATTACTTGTTTCAACTTCATTCATTCAGAGAACTTTGAAATGTATGAGTCAAAAGGTTATGTAAGCATTTTATTGTCTAGATGTACATCTACTTGACTGCCTTTGTATTATTGAAGATACAGAGTGTTAAAGTAGAGAATTTTCATAGCTCTTTGGTCATATGATAATATATCTGAAGTTTTAAGTAGTTTTTAAAGGTTCATTTTGAATTAAAAGAGTTAAAACTTAGATAACATGAAACTTTGAATGATAACATACTGTACATTATAATGTATATTGATATTCAAGGTGTTTAATTACATTTTAAATGTGACACAATGACCTGCACAGAAAAGCATTTAAATAGGCACACATTGTGAAGTGAAAGCATTAAATAATTCTCTTTTTTTGTCAAAGTCCACACTGGCTGGTTCAGTTCCTTTAGAACACATTTTGACAAGACAAAAATTATTCTTCTCTACTCTGTTATTGCGATACAATCTGTGATACTTTCACTTTAAAATCACCGATATATGTTCTTTATGGCTAAACTTGCAAACACACAGTCTAAGTCTATTTGACTATATCTCTACCTAACTTAACTTGAACTACATTTTGTACACTTATTTATAAATAGCTCGACTGAGGCCTAGACCTTTCCACACACTACGAGGTATTATGATGTAATAATACTTAAGAAAAACATGACGAACAATACAACAATTGCCAATTTACGATAATTGAACTTTATAACTTATGATTCGCACAGTTATGTAAACAAACCTGCGATAAACTATCGCTTCTAAGAATAATCAAGCTTAAAACTCATGCTATACTTAAATTGAAACAGTCGTGTATATCTAACATACTTCTATTTACCAAGACCAATTAGTTTGATTCTTAGGAAATTTACTTTTTTTTCCTTGTACATGCAAGTCTTTCCATGATGTTTCCTCTGTCTTTCTGTCAGGACCTCAGCTACTTATTCATCATTCATTGTTAGGTAGAAGTGTATGACATAAATTAAAAGTGGGATCAAGATTTATTTGACCAAGTGAAGTGATGGAATGGGTTCTTAATTTTAATGCATTTTTACTGGGATAGAGTGAACCCCCCCCCCTTTATGCCATTGTTAGGCAAAACATATTTTGGTGTCAATCCCAATATAATTTTTTTTTTAGCTGAAACATGTAATTGAAAACAAAAGTTAGTATTTACAGTTTATATTGTACAATATTTAGAGACACTTAGCAAAGTTATTGGAAGCATATTCGTGCATGTTACAGGGAAGCCTTGCTGATTATGGAAAATTGTTATTACAAGGACCTTTTAGTGTTTGGATGGAAGGAAAGAAGGACAGAATTAGAGATCTTCGTTTTAAATCCCAACAACGTTTTATCTTTTTGTATGAGCAGCTTATTCTTCTTACCAAGAAATGTGGACCTGATGAAAACCCAACATATGCATTCAAAAATGCCTTAAAGGTATAATTTCTGTTTGTTAAACTTAGGTTTGTTTGTTGTATCTGTTGAAATATTTTATTTGTGGTTTTGAAGTATATGTATATAACATAGTAACTGTTATCATGTTTGAAATTCTAGACATGAATATTGAAGAATGAGGTCATTCAAGATACATTACATGAGTTTCATTAGTGTCATGTCACATTAGTTTGATACATAGTATGTAACAGTAGTTTTATACAAAATACAGTTATGGAATTAATTATGGAAACCCACAAGTGATACATATGGGAGTCATGAAAAATGAATTATTACAGCTTGATGCTGAATTGTGTAATATTTCAAAACATTATCACAGAAAATACAAAAGAAAAGTAAAAATGTATATACTGCTCTAGCATTTTGTATGTAAACCCTTTGCTTTATACAGAACATTAAACATTATTTCCTGCTGCCATACAGTTTATCAATGTAAAATTAATAAGCATTGCCCCAAACTTATACTGATCCTTCACTATGCTTCATTGTAGATGTTGTACATTTGCTATGACATTATTCTTCTCTTCACCATCGAACAAACTGTAATTGATTGTGGCAGAACAATTCAAACAAGGATTCATCTGTAAAGAATACACATCTCCAGCTTTGCTTATTCTACTGTTTGTGGTCTGATGCTCATTTAAACCCTTTGATTTGATGAGCATTATACATCCATTGAGGCCACTTCATGGTAATATTCAAATTCAACTTCATTTTCAACAATGAACATTTTCTTGAAATAGATGGTTTAAGTATGGACAATCCTGTTTCGCCCGTTCTTGCCAATATAT